CAAGATAAACGAATTTTTCGACCACTTCCAGTGGATTCCCCGAAATGGTGAGAGAAGGACATGCACTCGGCCAGTTCTGTAACACGACCATACATTTGGGAGGGGCAAAGTTCAACCCAAATTGGGAAGCGAATATCTCCAGTCTAAGCAACACATTCTGGGCGGCTTAGGAGGACTCGCAAATCCCAGCGATGTCATCGACGTACTCTAAGTTCCGAAGGCGTTCACCAGGGAGAATTTCAACACCGCCGGACTCAGAGCTTTCCAGGGCAGTATACAGGATCTCGTCCATGGCGAAGTTGAACAAGTATTAAGTGGCTGGGCAACCCTATCTAACACCGCTAGTGATACTGAAAGTGGGCAAAATAACTCCGTATATTTGTACGCTGCCCGAAGTTTGATGGTAAATTGCACGGAGAATGCTGATGTACTTCTCAGGTACCACCCTCATCACTGAGCAGTCCCAAAGAGCCACTCTGTCAACAGAGTTAAAAGCAGATCGAATATCTAATGGTATGACTAAAGTTGGTCGACGGAACGTATGGCGATGTTCAAGTATCTGGCAGATCGTAAATATGTGATCAACGCAATCGAGACCCGGGCAAAATCCAGCTTGTTGTTCAGGCAGGTGCTGTTCCCATACGCAACTGAGCCTCCGTAAGAGTAGGGCAGCAAGCAGGTTGGATGCGACACAAATAAGACTGATGCCACGATTGTTGGAGCAAATGACTCGATCTCTTCTTTGCAAACAGGTGCCATATCCCGTAAATTCCAGTCGAATGAAATGGTTTCAGTAGTCGAAATCTGATGGAATAATGTCAGTTCGCGAGTGAGAGCAGGACCTCCATATTTGAAGTGGGCAGGAGGAAGTTCAACTGGGCCAGGTGAATTGTGGTGCTTTGGTAGGCGAAGCTCATTGGAAACCTCAGCCACTCTCGGTGGAGAAACATGCACGCATCAGGGAGCACTGTGAACTCGGTTGCGCAGTTGTCCAGTTGAACTGCTCTTCAAAGTGCTCTGCCCACCTTACCAGATGACGGTAACACTTGTGAATTAGTTCACCGTCGTTTTCATGCGAAACCTCACTCACTACTGATCTTCTTCTTCTTTCCGTGGAGCGAATAAGTTAGAAGAGTTTGCGGGAGTTTCCTGATGAGGCTGTCCGCTCCATCTCAACGACGCGCTGTGTCCACCACATCTTATGATCTTTCTTGAGGAGCAGTCTGAGCGCAGCACCAGTGGTTCCGCGTAGTGCTTTGTACTCAACTCCGGCGGGGAATTATTCGACGACGTTCCATTAATTGGTGAGACTGTGCAGTGGTCCAATAACCAGCAGATCGTCTAGTGAAGCCACAGACCAGGGTAGCGGACTTACCTAAGGCGCTCTGGATCAGTACCCAGTGTGTCTCAAGATCGGTTGATAGAGAACCTAGGTTGGAGCCTAGTGAGTTCTGAAATGCGCCAAGAACATTTGGGGCGGTGAGCTTGTATGTGTTAAAACGTTTCCGGCAACGCTGTTGCGTGCCTCCAAAGCGCAGAACGAAGTTAGCACACACGAGCGCATGATTCGAAGTCAGGTACGTGTATCATATTTACCTGCAGTCCGTTATACAGCCTCGCCAACGGCAACTAACAACGATGTGGTCAATTTGTGTCCAAGTTTGACCAGGCGCCGGAAGTCGCAAAGTAGCTCATTGGCGCCAGGAAAGTCGGAAATTGGTGCAGGAGAGGAACAAGCCGTGATCGGCGCACAGTTGAAGTCGATCGCCGCTGTCCGTTCTACGAGTACTGTGGCTAGGTTGACCCCCAGGTTTGCGCTGATGAACCTCTAGTCTACCGACCTGCGCATTTAGGTCACCGGCGAGTAGCACGATGTGCGTGCGGCGTTTCTTGCGGAGTAGGTCAATGAGTGGGCGGTAGAACTTGTCTTTAGCTTCGTGCGGGCTGTAGTCCGTTGAAGCGTACGCCGCTATAATGAATAGGCAGAACCTCCTGTTTCAGTGACTGGAAGCTCTTAATGAGCTTTCTAAGCGGGCTACACAAAGATGACTGTTGACTGGGAACCAGTCAATCAGCGCTGCCTCAGCACGCGCGCTTAATGCAACTCCTACAGCAGTGCAACCAGAGGCTGCCGCTGTCGCATCTCCAGGTAAGTGCAAAGTGAATGTACAATTGGAACTTGGAGATGGTGAGAGCAATCGCAGCGTTGTGTTGGAATCTTGTAAACGGGTTTCACTTAGGTAGTACACGTCCATTAACAGGGTTTCCAAGGTGCGCGCAAGGACAGCTTGCGAACCAATCTGCATGAGCGTTCGAACATTGAACGTAGCTAGCTTGAAGAGCGAGCGGGATGCAAGATAAGCCCTTCTGTTGGTATTGGAATGTGTGCGATCGGATTTGAGCGGTTCATTGAGGAGGCTAAAGCTACCGCTTTTTGCAATGCACTTTTGCAGAGCAAACTTGAGGGGGCTGCTAAGACCTGGAGAATTAAATAAACCTGGAACGAAGAAAGTGGTTTGCGGTGAGATAGAGTGTGGTTTAGCTTGTTCGGCCGCCAGCACCTTGGCCAAAGAGAGAGAGTTCAGAGAGCGAGAGACGCAAGCAGAGAGTTGTAAATCCATCATTTCCTGTGTTGTGTGGACACACAGCTTCCCGGTTGCCCTGGCCGAGGAAGAGGTTGACGTAGGGGGACCCACCCGGAGCCTCTGGTCATAGGGACCTGACCCGCAAGGCAGCGGGGCGTATCCAGGGCATCGCGCCCATTAGCAGCAAGTGACCAATTTCTCGGTTTGGATGGCTGTCAAATAATGGCCCCATACTCCCAGTAATTCAGCGTCAAGCTGAAGGATTACAATGCTCCAGAGAGGGGAAGCAAAGGACAGCGACTTTATTTAGTGCCGAGTCCCATCCACCAAGGCGCAGTGTTGTTAAGCGGACATATGTGGCTTTTTATAGGAATAACGCTTGCCAGGCGAAAACCCACCACGTCCCGGAACACTGCCATCGAATCTTGCACTAGAACTGGATAATGCCGAAACACCCAGCCGGCACCACGTGAAGATAGTTCGATAAGCCGGGCAAGCTGCAGTATTTTTGCATCGGTGATCACCTTTTAGTCTGGATAGTCAACTTTCTCCTACAACGGTAGCTGGTGGTTCGAATACGAAACTCCTTAGCAGACCCTTTACATCTCGAATGTGGTGTGCCTCAGGGCTCTGTTCTAGGGCCACGATTGTTTTTGGTATTTATAATCGACCAAGTAGACCACATGAACATTTTCTCTAGCGTCAGTTGACCCGGTCCAACTAGTCCGGCCTATTAGCAAATTTGTTGTGCACGATCGCTTTCGATGAAAGCCGTGTTTTTCGGGCGCAATGATGCAATTTTTCGGATAGCATACCAATGCCTCAGCAATGATGAACTCCATGACTTTTAACAGTACAGGGTGAAGTGGTACTGTCAAAAGGACTGAGCCAAAGGTCCTTTTGGTTGTCGTGACACTGCTTCCCTTGCTTCTGGGCGGGTAGTATTGACAGCAGGTGAGCTATAGTTGCGCAGAGACGTAAACGTTTGCAGGACAGCTTCCGCAGATCATCTGGTGGTAAGACCCTCTTAAATGTGGATTCATATTGAGTTCGTGGATGCTTTGCTTCAGGGTGTAACACAGCTGCACTTCTGGGAACAACTGCGATATGGTCGGTGCTACTATATGCATCTGAGACTTGACCACTTCGTACGGAAGACATCAATCGGTTGGCGGTCTTTGAGCATCGGGTCTCACGCGGTATTGCACGTATCTGATGGGAACACAGGGTGAACAATGCTAAGGTCCGCCAGTTGGATGGGGGCCTCTTGGTAGCCCAACCCATTGGTTAGAGACTCTATCGGATGTGATGCATTGAAGGAGTCAGCGCTGCCCCTGAATTCGTTTTCTTGCTTTTAAAGGTTCCTACTCCAATGCGACTAGTTTCAATCAGCACTTCCTTGCTTATATTTTGCAAAATACTATATTTAAGTCCAACCACATTTAGTTAACATTGTTCCTTATTGCCAATCTGGCGAAGCGAGTCATGGCAACTGCATCCACGACACTTTGGTACCCGGATTACGGTTTATCAACTGCACTGACCTGAACTGAAACAACCGTGTTAGCTTTAAGGATTGTAGGTTATTTAGGAAAATATTACAGATAGAACCTGGCTCAATTAACAGGAAAGTGAAATAGTAAAAGTGAGAAAACACTCCTCTACCAATTCGTTATCATTCCTAAGCTGAAAGATCTAGTTGAAAATGGTGCCTTTTTCATGCAGTGGTTCTTTGGAAGCGAGTTTTCAGTCTACCGGCGCGCCCAACATAACTGTGTTGTAACATTACCTCTATCAGCTTCTTTGTCCGAAGTGCGATTCAATTTGCCAGAGAAACACAGTGCACCGGAGGTACACGCGATCCATCGACTCCTAACTGCTGTTCCGATGCACCAGTAAACTCAACTTCCTATCATCATGTGGGACAAACATGACCTAACGTTTGAGCATAGTTAGTGCGCAACTCTATATGTTAATTGCCACCATATTCTTTTTATATGACCAAAGCGCCTGCAGCCGAGACTTCGAGATTTAGGTCCTGAGGACAGACTCCAAGCGACAACTCCTAGTTCTACCGGCTGTCTTCGATTGAGTGGTGACGATACAGGAGTTTCATGAACGTTGTCATAATGCATATGTACGCAAGCAGCGCAGAAGCAACCACTTCATGACGGTTGATTATGCACTCGAACGGTTTTCCACCTGTCAACACCACCATGACTAAGGGACCTTTTGGATCTCAGCTGTTTCAGATTAGGTCATTTGATGAAACTCCGTGCACAGGTCGGTGAATGAAGATAGATAAGAATGTAAGGTACGTGGTTGATCCAGGCTGTCTTCACAAAAATCGTTAAAACACAATCCCATAAAGTGTAAACTGGCATAAAATCAAACCAATATCAAGGATTTGATTACCTTCAAGAACTGCTCTGCAGAGGTGCAGTCATCCATGGCTTTACCCATCACATTAGCAAGACGATAGTCCAAATCCTTTACTGTATCTTTGAAGGTGTTGCAGTCTGTGGTGAATTCTTCATTGTGTGAATCCATAGTGTCATAGGTGCGATCTCCGAAAACCTGGTAGGTAGTAGATTGGAACAGGGTTTTTGGTATGGGTGATGGAATATGTCCACCACAACAGCAGAGTGTTCATGTCATTAGAAGCACGGTTTCCGTTCATTATCGCATTACGGAGTTTGAACACCAAGTTTAGTAGGGTTGTCACCAAATCAGACAGGACAAACGGGCCACCAAATCGAGACCAGCTCAACGTCGACCAAAATGAAGTGGAGACACTGAGTTCTAAAGGTATCGCTTAAGGATTCTCGGAAGGTTAATATTTTGGATAGAAAGCGGAGTCCGTTCAGAGTTTCATTGGCTAGGGCATTGATCTAGCCAGGATATCAATTTAATCAAAGGATTTACACTAATGCTGGTTTTTGGAGCACATTTTATTTAAGTGGATTAATCAAATCTGAAAAGCTTGAGTTCGCGACAGCCCAGACTAAGTGTAAGCATTCTGTTAAATATTGATTAGGCAACTCCAAGATAATTAAAATATCCATTTCCTATCGCAAGTGGAACCAAATGAGGAATGTCACATATATTTGAACAGACTGTGCTCAGCCTGTGTTGCTGAGCAGCAAGCCTACGCCAGATCCTCGATATGTTCAGGATACCCTGGCAGCCTTTGCAGAAGGCCTGTTATTTCGTGTGTAGGATTCCGATGATTGGTTGCCAGTTAACCGAGCATGACCTCTACTCAAACACATGGTGAACCTGGTGATATGAGAGCTGAGAGAGAGAGAGGCTAAATATTTAGCTCGCCAAGAGTCCATAGCCAATGACAAGCACGTCACTGCGCTTGGGAATTAGACTGCCTGTGGCTAGTGTCGCATAACCCTAACACTCAGTTCCAGAATACTTATCAAACCAGACGGATAAAAGAATGAAATAACTGCAGTGACTGTCTCATTCGGTCGGGAGAATGACGCTTGTCACAAACATCAGTGCGGATCGACCTAATGAAAACCGTTTTGTGGACATTCCATTGGTATTGGCTGCATTGGATGCCAGGTTGAGCTGAGTTGAGCCAGCTGAGGAGAGTAATTCCAAACATTCAGGACCAAGGGAATTGAACACTGCACCTGAGACTGCTCTGGAAGATGTCGGAAGGCACCGTAACCATTGGGACCACTTATAGCATTCATGTAAACTCTTCACATGGTTGCCCAGGCATTGCGATGCAACACTTCCTTGATATACAAGGAACGACATAAGCAAGTGGAACTTGGGTGTATTTGGGTCGTGGATTCCGATTCAGGTTGCCAAGTTTCCATTTTTCAAAACCTCGGATGTCAGAACGTCTGCACAGGGCTGGGTTTCAATGCAATATTAATGGGATATCAATGAACAATGAATTGTAGCGGACAACAAAACGAGTGATTGGCATGTTCCGTAGGCTGACCGGAGTAAGTATTATAAAAACAAAGTTTAAAATGACATGAAAGGTGACTAACCGAGTTAGTCACATAACAACAAATGCAGTTCCCTCACCGCTACTTAACGAAGATGGCCTACGAGCACACTGTTTGGGTTGCGTTTTGTCGTCTTTCGACGGAAACAGACGATTTCACGTAATGTAAATGAGCTGGAGTATAGTCTAATCATTGTTAAAAAAGCATTTGTGTGGGGTGATAATAACCTGAAAGAGAACAGTAATCCATGTTCTGGATACCCGAAGTGATAAAACGTTTTGTTGGCGAGCAAGTCGACTATAGCGCGTGGCCAGTTTGAGCTATTGGCCTATTGGGTTGATAATGTGGCTCACGCGACAGATGGCGACAGGCGTGATTTGGGTTACTCAGTATTTGGTACACCATAATAATAATGTCTCCTCGCAGGCGCCAGTATTCACCGCTGTACAAGCCTAGAGCTTGCAGTCTGCGTCACTAGTGGAGGTGATCCATTGCTTTAAAGTTTTCGTCGCCATAGGTTGCGGCGTTTCAAGCGTAACAACATCGTGTTTGCTTCAGTACCGCCAGGCTTAGATTGCGTTCTCCTCTTGGAGACTCACGTAAGTGTACAATATTTGCAGAAAGAAAGGTGACTAGAACTTCTCGAAAATACCCTTCTTATGGGGCCAAGGTGCTGACTGACTCGGCCTGTGTAGAGCAGCCAATGTAGTCCTGAACGTTTAATCCCAGGTCGCTTTCCTGCGTAGCATGTTGCAGCTGTTCTCTCGGTTAAAATTCATGAATAAACTCATTTTGTATGCTCCAACCTTTGCAGGTAACAAAGTTAAACTAATTCGGTTTTCGAATGACCGTGTATGGGACCTAACTAGATCTCCCTACAGTGCTGGGTGGTAGTCCACTGTCTTTATGTCAGGCCAGATCTTGAGTTTGTAGTAGCCAAAAAGATATTTCTTATCTTGTACATTTTTGTTTTTGGTTTTTATTTTAATGCTGACTCTACGGCCATTCCGACCTACATCTGGCTCACCACTTGTTTCCAAAGTGAGTTCCGATACTGACGTACGTTCTCGTCGCTTCATTCGCTTTTCGTTCGATAGTAGCCTTTCTCGAATACAATCCATTGTGTCCGTTCTTCTGATTTTCTGGTATCCCCACCCCAGCGAGAACACTGTCGGGCTAGTATAGACTAGTCCTACAACGTCCTCTGCAAATAGTAGAAAGTTCGACTGGAAAACACTAGCAATATCATTGCTGAATAGAAAGAATAAATGTGGTCCACATAGCCATCCGTGGGGTGCACCGTACTGGGCCGGAGTTGGCGTTGCGGACTCTCACATTCGGCTGATCTTGAATGAGGAAGTTGCAACCCCAATCTAAGATAGGGTCACCGATTCCATAGCTCCAAAACTTGTGAAGAAGATGGTTGTAGTACGGGCGATCGAATGCTTTACGTATACGACATCGGCTCTTACTCTAGCATCAATTGATTCAGTCCATCTTGCTAGGAATAGCAAAAAGTTCGCAGTGCATGGCAGATTTCAGCGAAATGGTGACTCAATGAAGTGGTTACTTTCAAAGTATCTCAAGAGTGTTTCTGCGACAATAATTTACATAAGATTAGATAGCACTGGGGGAAAAGTGACTGAAAGGTACTTCGATGGCTCCGCACTAATCCCACTGCTGCAAGCAAGAGTAACTATTTCACTTTTCCACATTGTGGGAACCTGCAGTTCACTAAGGCGTCGTTGAAAGAACCGAACTAATGGTTCGGCGATGTACATGGTGACTATCTTTAATGCCCTCGGTCTAATGTGGTCCACGCCAGGAGGGCTATGTATACGCAATCATATTTTCTGCAGTAAACGACACCTAAGTTAACCCTGAGTCGAATGGAGCTGTGCCAGGCACGGGGACGTGATGATTCACTCTGAAAAGTGTCCGTAAACGGTTGCCAAAACACATTGGTCGCCTTTTATGTAGTAAGCGTCAGACAATCTATTGCATCCAAAACTGGGATGCTGTAGAGCCGCTTAGGATTAATACTGCAATTTAACACAAGCATTTTGTTGCGTTAGCTACGCACCCCAGGCCTGTACACTCGGAGATGCTTCATAAGCGCACCAGGCCAAGTCCTTATAGACATGCGTTTTCGGGTCCTGTTCCTCAAGAAGGACTTCAGTTGCTTTCGGTAAGAAGACTTTGGCTACCGATGCATTTGCCTCTAACCAGGTGAACTGGGTGCTAAACAAACTTCAGGCGAGGTCTGGAGGTTTCTCAGCTAAGGATGACCACTTGGTTGCTTGAACCAGCTTGAACAGGATGTCGTAATGGATAACCACGTGGGTTTCCTCGTTGTTTTCACAGGTGTGTTCAACGTAGCAGATGTAGTAGAAGAGCTTGTCGTAGGATCGCTGCAGGCAAGCGGTGCGTCTTCGGTGTCGATAATTTGTTCATCGTTGGCTTGCACAAGGTCTAAAGCAAATGGTTCCCCACCCGTTCTGAATCGCGTGGGGAGGTGAAATGGTTGTATAGAGATACATGGGCAATTGCATCTTGCAAGTCTGGCTCGAGCTGTTCACTGGGAGAACCGGAGACTTTGAATGCATGCATGTTGAAGTCCAGAACCAAAATAAAGTGACTGTATAGCTGTACCAGTTCAAACTTCCTAGCAGAAATTAGGCGGTGATCCAATTCCAGGGCGGACATTGGATTGCGGTAAATTCTTGCTAGTAAACACACATCACCACACCTTATGTGCATGCAGCACCAAAGAGAATCGATAAAATGTGTTTCTGGATCACCGATGATATTAACATCCGGTCGGATCTGTAATACAGGAGCACTCCGCCTCCTCTGCAGGATTGGTTGTACTTCGGAACATACTGGTCAAGTCTAGTTCAGCATCAGTAATTTTGGTAGTCAAGCATGTTGCTGTTATTATAACGATGTCCCAATGAGTGGAAACCTGACTAGTAGGAACCATAGCCAGCTTACTAAGATGAGACTGCGTGTTAGTATCCAAAAATGATGAGGGCCTTAGAGGTTAGCAGCGCGGTTGTGGGTGTGAATTTCGGGCGAGGTTTTATGGCCACTCTTGTGGAATCAAGTCAAGTCGTCAAGGTGTATGATGCACCCAGAATGGGTGAGTATGTAGCCGTACCACACACGCTTTCGGAGATACAGATTTAAATTCAAAAAAGTGGATGAATAATTGTAAGAGAATAATACCATCATAGCACAAACCGAGCTTTTAATTTTTGGACAAGTTTGTTTTGGTTTAGCGAAATTCGCGTTAGGTAGGCGATAAGTGACGAACGGTACGCTCGTATACGGATATGCATGGATTTGTACTTCTGTCTCGTTGAAGAGGCTGACACATATTCATATATAACACAATGGAGGGGTAACTTATAGTAATAATAATAATAATAATACGTATATTTCTCTTGATGAGAGAAACTGTGTCTACAGCGACACAGATCAATTTGTACAGAAGAATCCATGCTATTGTGTGGGTGACATGTATAAGTGGAGTATTGGGATATGCGTTTCATGTATTAACATTCTACCGGATGGTTGAGGCTAAAGCCTAGTTATCAA